TCTTATGGCAATGTCTTCTTCTGGAATACCTTCTGAAGGACCTGCCTGAGGCTGTTTTACTGTTAACTTAAAAAAAAAAAATTAAGTAGAAAAAGTACACTCTAAAATAACAATAAAAGTGTAGTAAGTAAATATAGAAACCAGTAACATAGTCATTTATTATCAATATCAAGTATTATGTATTGCACATAATAGTATGTGCTGTACTTTTATACAACTGGCAATGTAGTAGGTTTGTTTACACCAGTGTCAACACAAACATGTGAGTAATATGTTGTGCTACAACGTTACCATGGCTACTATGTCACTAGGCAATAGGAATTTTTCAGCTCCATTATAATCTTATGGGACCACCATTGTACATGTGGTCTGTCACTGACTGAAACGTTGTTATGCGGTTCATGATTGTACTTTTAAAATTTAAGTGATTTGCTAAATAATAACATACCATATATTCTAGTCTATACCTTCTGTGCATATGATATCAGCTATTACAGTATGCATAGAAGGTATAGACTAAAATGCATGGTATGTTATTTGTATATAAATAAAAAGTATAACTAGATCTCTTTGCTTATATATGCAAAGGCTATCTCTGAAGGATATATAAATTGATAACATGTATGCCTCTGGGGAGGGAAGCTGGATCAGGAATCAAAGATGGAAGCAAGAGTTACTTTTCAGTTTAAACCTTTAGGTTTCATATTACTTGTTTTTGATGCCAGGAATTAAGAAAATAATGCAGCTGGGTGCAGTGGCTCTTGCCTGTAATGCTAGCACTTTGGGAGGCCATGGAGGGCAGATCACTTGATCCCGGTTTGAGACCAGCCTGGACAACATGGTGAAACCCCATCTCTACAAAAAGTACAAAAATTAGCTGGGCATGGTGGCACATGCCTGTAGTCCCAGCTACTCGGGAAGCTGAGGTAAGAGGATCACTTGAGCCCAGGAGGTCAAGACTAGTAAGCCAAGATAGCGCCATTGCACTCCAGCCTGGGCGACAGAGTGAGACCCTGTCTCAAAAAATAAAATAAAATAAGAATTAAACTACAGCTGGTAAAAAAGGTAATACTTGCAAATAGGATATGCTTGAATTGTTTTCCATAAGTGTGTATTACCTTTTAAATTAACAAATAAAATATAATATTAAAATAGATGGCCTGTTTTTTAAGTACAATTTCCATTTTAGTTTTCTCCAGAGAATAGTCCATCTTCAGTCTTTAAGGACTCAGCTCCTTACATGGGCTTTGGTGGGAGCCGTACAGCAGCACCCGCAGGTCTAAATCCGGGTGGGGGTGTTTGGTCCTTGCAGACTTCATGAGGCCGATTCCTGACTACTTTGCTGTGAATTGCACAACTCACACAGTAATGTAGCTTCACATACTGCTTGGGAAGCACATAGGCATCAAAGACGCTTGCTTCAGAAATGTCCCTGACTGCTGTGGCCTCCACTATGTTTTGAATGACGAATTTCTTAATGGCCTTGTCCTTGTACACACATTGGGCACATTTCATGCAGTGAATAGGCTGCACGTGGTCGCGGGCCTTTTTTGGCACGACCGTTGTTCCTTCTTTTCTTTGTCATCTTGGAGGCGTGGACTGGAGAGAGGAGGTTTTTTTTTTTTTTTTTTTTGGTAGAGACAGTCTTGCTCTGTTGCCCAAGAGGGAGTGCAGTGATACAATCATGGCTTACTGCAGCTTCAAATCTCTGGGCTCAAATAATACTCCTGCCTCAGTGTCCCAAGCAGCTGGGATTATAGATGTGTGCCTCCACACCTGGCTAATTTTTTACTTTTTGTAGAAATGGGGTCTCCCTATGTTGCCCAGGCTGGTCTTGAACTCCTGACCTGAAGCCATCCTCCCACTTGGGCCTCCCAAAGTGCTGGGATTGCAGGTGTGAGCCACTGCACCTGGCCTTAGGTGGCACTCTTGTATGAAAAAATATTGAAGGACATACACTAAAATGTTAACAGCCATAGTTTCTGAGTGGGTGGGATGTCAGTTAATTTTTTTTTTTTTTTTGGGTGGTGTCTTGCTCTGTTGCCCAGGCTGGAGTGCAATGGCATGGATATCAGCTCACTACAAGCTCTGCCTCCCATGTTCATGCCATTTTCCTGCCTCAGCCTCCCAAGTAGCTGGGACTACAGGCACCCACCACCACACCCGGCCAATTTTTTGTATTTTTCTAGAGATGGGTTTTCACTGTGTTAGCCAGGATGGTCTCAATGTCGTGACCTCATGATTCACCCACCTTGGCCTCCCAAAGTGCTGGGATTACAGGCCTGAGCCACCGTGCCTGGCCAGATGTCAGTTAATTTTAAATTCTCTTTTTTACACTTTCATATAATATAATTTTCAACTTTTTTATAACGAATACATTCATAGTAAGAATTTTCTCTTGTGAACAAAGAAAGATGACTGGCAAACAACAGAGTGGAGGATGGTGTGAGGTTGTTGTGGTCGCGTCCCTTGTTTTAATGTAGTAAAAGCATAATGTGGCCAGGAGTGGTGGCTCACACCTGTAATCCTAGCACTTTGGGAGGCCGAGGCAGGTGGATCACCTGAGGTTAGGAGTTCAAACCAGCCTAGTTAACATGGCAAAACCTTGTCTCTATTAAAAATACAAAAATTAACCAGGCATGGTGGTGGATGCCTGTAATCCCAGCTACTTGGGAGGCTGAGGCAGGAGAATCACTTGAACTCAGGGGGCAGAGGTTGCAGTGAGCCAAGTTTGCGCCACTGCACTCCAGCCAGGGCAAAAGAGCAAGACTCCGTCTCAAAAAAAAAAAAAAAATAATAATGCTTTTGCATGGCAAGTTCTTGCAACAGCCTTTGTACCTAGTACCATGAAAAGCTGAAAAGTTAAGGCTGTGAGATGGTTTAAGCAGTCAATGGCACCCTCCCTTCCAGCCTCACTTTCTTCCTCCATGTGAGTGCTATGCCTCGGTCTCCAAGTGTCCTGGACATGTTCCACACTTGCCTAGTGAGTCTTGTCATGGGACAGATTGATACAGGGATGGAACTTAGAGTCTCAGATAAGGATTGAGAGCTGGGAGCAAAGAGAAGAAAGAACAGAGACCACAGGAGTCCAGTGGTGACATATGCAAGGAATTTTTATTAAAAGGCTGCTAACAATCTTACATATTTGTCTAACTTTTCTTCAAGAGAGCTTCAAACCTACATTAATCAGCTCCTTATCCTTACAGCTCACCTGAGAGGCCCAAAGAGCCACACCCACCAGCCTCATGCCCTTTATTTTCCCTTGGGGAAAAAAGGAATTCCTAACAAGAATGAAAACCCAGACACCATCACACTTGAATGCTGTCCTCCCACCCTCCTCTGACCACTCATCCAGCCATCTGGGTACCCTTGTGCTGAGCACAAGGGGAGATTTCAGGTGGAGAAGCAGGGTACCTGAGGCTTCCAAGACATAGGAGAAGCAATTAAAGACTTAAATAAGACCATGTGACCAAGTGCTGAATTATGGAGTTCAGATTTGGGTGTTCTAGGAAAGCAGAGGGTGACAGAACTGAGAAGGCTGGGGTCTCAGGAAAGGTCTGGCATGTATTAAATATTTGCTGAATGAATGAATGAATGAATGAGTGAACAAATAAAGGACCTAGGCTTTGAAGGCTTTGGAATAATAAGGACATATGTTCACACCTGTGTGGAATTTACCAGTTGATAATGGTTTCATCCATTGTTATCTGGTTTGAGTCCTGTGATAGCCCTGTGAGAAAAGCAGGGTGGAAATTGTTCTCCCCATTTTCCAGATGAGGAGATTGAGCCCCAGAGTGATGAAGTGACTGTGATGAATTCAGCACACATTTCCTGACTGTTCATTATGTGCTAGGATTCGTGCTGGAAACCAGACATCTAGGAATGAAGTCCATTAAGGCCCAGCTGCTCATTCCAACAGTGCTGAAGTGATATAAGAGCTGTTACAGTGTTCTGAGGGCACAGGGGCAGGAGTGCCTGTCTCTGCCATGCACAGGGAAGCTGGCACTTGACCTGGACCTCCAAGGATGGGTAGGTGTTTGTTAGGAGGAAAAGAGAATTCTAGGCAGAAGGAATACATGTATAAAGGGACAAAGGCAAGAAATAATGTGGCTTATTTGTCATAAAGTGTGTAATTAGATCTAAAGGAAGCACAGGTTGGTGAAGAGAAGGGGTATAGGAAGATAAAGCTTAGAGAGTTGGCTCTTCGGTTAGTTGGTTATTTGTCAAGTTGAACAGTTCGGACTTGATCTTTAGAGCTGTGGAAAGCCATGAAAGTTTCTATTTTTTATTTATTTTATTTTTTAGAGATGAGGTCTTGCTCTGCTGCCCAGGCTGGCATTCAGTGGCATGATCATGGCTCCCCGCAACGTTGAACTCCTGGCCTCAAGTGATCGTCCCACTTCAGCCTCCTGAGTCATAAAAGTTTTTAAAGCAAGAGAGTGATAGCTCTTTACTGAGTCTTTCCTTGGATGTGCATGTGTTTGCTGTTCTTGGCTTTTTTTTTTTTTTTTTTTTCCTTTCTCCACAATAGCTCAGGAGCTGCTTCCTCCAGGAGCCTTTCCTTGATCACCGGGCCTCCAGGCTCAGTAAGATGCTTCTCATGGACTTCCTCAGCCAGGACTCCTCTGTCTTATCACTTATCTACTGCTTTGTTACTCTGTGTTGACCCACCTTTTATTCTAGTCTTTGTCCACCTAGAGGTCAGGCACCATGTCTGACTCATATTTGTAAGTCCCATGACCAGCACAGGGCTTGCCCCAGATCAATGTGCTCAGTAAATATTTGCTGAAGGAATGAATGGGAGGAGCTGGGTTCCACCCCAGTGCTGAGACAACATTTGGGGCAGGTGTAGTGATGGAGTGATTCTGAGTATTGTGCATTTCCTCAGTGCTGCTGGGGTAAGGAGTGCGTGCGTGAATGGTGGGGTGACCATTAGAAGGTTGGTGACTCAAGGTGACACTGAAGGTCTGTTCCTGAGTGACCCTAGGTCTCTCTTGCAGATGGCTTCAGTGACAGATGGTAAAACTGGAGTCAAAGACGCCTCTGACCAGAATTTTGACTACATGTTTAAACTGCTTATCATTGGCAACAGCAGTGTTGGGAAGACCTCCTTCCTCTTCCGCTATGCTGATGACACGTTCACCCCGGCCTTTGTTAGCACTGTGGGCATCGACTTCAAGGTGAAGACGGTCTACCGTCACGAGAAGCGGGTGAAACTACAGATCTGGGTGAGTCCTGGGAATCTTGGGCATGATTTTCCTGAGAGGTGGCTGGCCTGACAATATAAGGGCTGGGAGGTGGGGCCAGCTTGGAACTTCTGGGGCTTGCAGCATCAGGCATTAATGCTGTTTCAGGTGTGGCCCCTGGGTTACCCTCTGCTAGCTTTATACAAGTTTGCTCTCCTCCAGGGGTTCAGTTGCTTCTGCTGTTTAACTATACAGGAGGTTTTATGTTGGCTTGTCTAAATGAGTGACCAAGAAACTGGGGCTTGGAGTTAGAGACTTGGGTTCAAATTCTGCCTCTGCCACTTACTAGTCATGGAACTTGACTGAATGACTTAACTTCTCTGGGGCACCCTTTCTTCTTTGGGGATTGTAATAGCATCTGCATCATAAGGCTGTTGGGTCCTTAGTTCCTTGGCATAGTTCCTGGAACATTGTAAATGCACACTAAATGTTAGCTACAGTATCAGTTATCTACTGTCCTATAACAGAACACTTTATAAGTTCATAGTGCCGGACTGGGCAACATTGTGAGACCTCATCTCTACAAAAAATAAAACAAATAGCTGAGCATGGTGGTGGGCACCTGTAGTCCCAGTTACTTGGGAGGCTGAGGTGGAAGCATTGCTTGAACCCAGGAGGTCGAGGCTGCGGTGAGCCATGATCATGCCACTGCACTCCAGCCTGGGCAACGGAGCAAGACTCCATCTCAAATAAATAGGTAGATAGATAGATAGATAGATAGATAGATAGATAGATAAATAAATTTGTAGTGTCAAACAGCAATAATAATTCATTATCTTATAGTTTCTGTGGATCAAGCATTTGGGAGTGGCTTGGGGCCTCCCATGAGGTGTAGCCAGCTGTTGGCTTAGGTTGCAATCATCTGAAACATAGACTGGGGCTGGAGGATCTTTTTTTTTGTTTTTTTTAAAGACACAGCCTTGCTCTGTTGCCCAGGCTGGAGTGCAGTGACATGATCTCGGCTCACTGCAACCTCCACCTCCTGGGTTCAAGCGATTCTCCTGCCTCAGCCTCCCGAGTAGCTGGGACCAACAGGTGCCCGCCACCATGCCCAGCTAATTTTTGTATTTTTGGTAGAGATGGGGTTTCTCCATGTTGGCCAGGCTGGTCTCGAACTCCTGACCTCGTGATCCACCCGCCTCGGCCTCCCAAAGTGCTGGGATTAAAGGCGTGAGCCACCGCACCTAGCCTGGGGCTGGAGGATCTTAAGGCTGTACACTCACATGTCTGGTGCTAGCTGTTGGCAGGAGGCCTTACTTCTTTCCCATTTGGCCTTTTAGAGTGTCTTCACAGAGCTGCTTAAGTGTCTTTATTTGTGTAGGAGCTGGCTTTTCCCAGAGTGAGAGATGTAAAAGGCCACAGGAAGTGGCAATGTCCCTTGTGAGTTAGCCTTAGCCTTACAGCATTCTATTGGTCACTGATTCAGCATGGGAGGAAACTACACAAAAGTGTGGATATTGGGAGGAAAGTATCACTGGGGACCATCTTGGAAGCTGGCTGCCACAGCTACTACTATTATTAGTATCTACCAGTAGTACTAAAAAATTATGTGCATATTTTAGATGATATAGCAACATGTAGATCATATAGTTTTCAAAAATGAATTCGTATTTGGATTGGAAATTTTGAAAATTTGTGATTTAAAGTATTCAAAACATGTATTCTTCTTATTATTATTTTATTTTTTTCGAGACCGAGTCTTACTCTGTAGCCTGGGCTGGAGTGCAGTGGCACTATCTTGGCTCACTGCAACTTCCGCCTCTCAGGTTCAATAGATTCCCCTGCCTCAGTCCCCTGAGTAGCTGCAATTATAGGCGTGTGCCACCATGCCTGGCTAATTTTTGTATTTTGAGTAGAGATGGGGTTTCACCATGTTGGCCAGGCTGATCTTGAACTCCTGACTCAGGTGATCCACCCGTGTTGGTCTCCCAAAGTGCTGGGATTACAGGCATGAGCCACCACACCCAGCCAAAACATGTATTATTTATTATCTTTCTATTCTACATGTTAAATGTACATTAATACATTATGCGTATGTCTTATTGGGGCAGTCTGTATATAGTACTTTTCTTTTTACAAATTATTTCCCATATATATTATCTCACAATTAACACTATGAAGCAGGTACTACTTTAATACACTCCTGTTTTGCCGAATGAGAAACTCAGACTCAGAGATTAGTTAACTTACCTTAGGTCAACGACACTGCTATAAAGTGGGATTTCAAGAAGATCTTCTGATTCAAAAGTATATGCTCTTTTCTCTACACTGTGCATCTGCGGTATTATAGAGTTCATATTTCCCTTCATGATAATGTCAAATATTATATAGGGATAAAAGTTCATTGTTCATTTGCTCTCTATTAAAGGCATTGAGGATTCAGAGATCATTAGAAATAGGAGAAGCTATATGAGTCGTCTAGTTCACTGATTCCCAGACCCATGGCATCAACATCACCTTGGAATTTGTTAGAAATGCAACTTCTCAGGCCCACATTAGAACTATTGAGTCAGAAACTCTGGTGGGTGAGTGACAACGATCTGTGCTATGACAAGTTTTCCAGGTGGTTTTGTGGCAGGCTAACTTTGTAGAACCACTTAGTTTAACTAGCTTGAGGTGAAAGTCAACATGCGTTTACTAAAAGCACCTATTAGGTGCCAGGTGCTTTCACTTGTGCTATCTGACATCATCCTTGCTGTTCGTGCACAGGGGGATGTGAGCACAGAATATTTGGGGCGTGGTGAGCAATACAGTAAAACTGGATCAAGGTTGTGAAAGAGCAGAGTTGGTGCTGAGAGAGAAATTTGCTGGAGAGGCTATAGGCGGCAGATTGGGGTTCAAAGAGATCTTCCACGGCAAACAGAAAGTTCTTGTCATCAGCCAGAGGATTCATGCTTGATGACTCCTTAGGGAACTGAAGAAATTATTAGAGCTTACTTTTAATCTTTGAATATAAAATATTTTTTACTGTATTTACTATGTGGATTGTCAGAAGCGTCTTTGTTTGATCACCATATCAGATGGTCAGATAGCCTGCACTCAAAAAATCTTGAGATAGGAGGAGCCATTCTGCCCTTCTAAGGGGTTGACAGTGGACTGACTCACTTCTTCGTTTATGTTCGGCCAGTTGTGAGCTTTTGTGGTTTTCTTCTGCCTGGTTAAGTGGATTTATTGATTACATGATCTAGTTTTAACTAAATGAAATGTCATAATGGATATATGGCTTTTAAAGAGTCCTATAAAGAAACCTCTGATTGAAGACTATACTAGAAGATTATAGTGAACCCAAATGAGCGTAAAGAAAATGGCTGAACTGATGTTTTTCCAACTCCCAACACAAGTTCATTGTCAGCCACATTTGGAGGTAAAATCAATGACAATGTAATTAGATCTGACATGGTCAATCTCCCATCCAAGTACTAACCAGTCCCAACCCCTCTTAGCTTCCAAGATTAGACGAGATCGGGCATGTTCAGGGTGGTATGGCCATAGATGACACGGTCATTCTCGTTGCTTTTGCTGAAGGGAAATTAACAAAGGGTTTTTATGTGTGTGTTTGTGCTTTTATGCAGCAAAAATAAAGTTTTCTGGACTGTTCATGAATACATTAGATTTTAAACATTTAAGTATTGTTTATTTTAACTTATATATTTTAATATCTTTTGTGTATAGAAGTAGACATGTAGATATATAATCTACATGTAGATACTGTGCATGCTGTATCTAAATTTTTCTTACTTAAAGGGATGTAAGTTGGAGACCACCACCATAGGCACTGGGAGCCATAAAACGGTTTAAACAAGTTAGATTTGCATTTTAGAAAAATTCCTGGCTTCAGTTTGAAGGGTAGATGTAAATGAGGCAAAGAAACCAAGTTTTGGATCCAAACTCATCAAATTGTATACATTAAATAAGTGTATTTTTTTGTGTATCAATTATACCTCAAAAAGCTATCTAAAAATTAATACACAAATATAGTAGTGACCAGCTATAAAAGAAAGGAAGCAAGCAAGCAAGCATGCAAGGGCTTGGGTAAATTATATGGGGCTGAACTAAGTGTATTATTCTGCTCTGGCTGCCATAACAAAATACAATTGAAATTAATTTTCTCACAGTCTGGAGACTAGAAGTCTAAGATCAAGGTGCCAGCAGGGTTGATGTCTGATGTGAGCTCTCCCCTCGGGCTGCCTTCCCACTCTGTGTTCTTGTGGCCTTTCCCTGGTGCATGGGCATGGGGGAGAGAGGTGCAAACTCTTTGGTGTCTCTTCTTATAATGACACAAATTCTGTTGGATCAGAACTCACTCTTATGACATCATTTAACTTTAATTACTTCCTTTGAGGCCTCATCTCCAAATACAAGCACACTGAGGGTTAGCGCTTCAACATACACATTTTGGGAGGACATAGACATTCAGTCCATAACGCTAAGAGTGACAAAATGACATAAAGGATGGAAATGAGGAGAAAGATTTAGAACTACAATTTACAGAATTTGATGAGCAATTACTGTCCCCTCTTATCCAAGGTTTCAGTTACCTGGGGTCCTCTAGATCTGAAAATACTAAACAGAAAATTCTAGACATAAGCTAATAAATTTTAAATTACATATATAATTTTTTTGAGATAGAGTCTCACTCCGTCACCCAGGCTGGAGTGCAGTGGCATGAGCTCAGCTCACTGCAACCTCCACCTCCTGGGTTCAAGCAATTCTCCTGCTTCTGGAGCAACTGAGATTACAGGCGCACACCACTATGCCTGGCTAATTTTTGTATTTTTAGTAGAGATGGGGTTTCACCATGTTGGCCAGGCTGGTCTCGAACTTCTGACCTCAAGTGATCCACCTACCTTGGCCTCCCAAAGTGCTGGGATTACAGGCATGAGTCACTGCGCCCGGCCTAAATTGCATACTGTTTTGAGTAGCATGATGAAATATTGCACTGTCTTGCTCTGTCCTGCCTAGGGCATGAATGATCCCTTTGT